ACTTGACGAAAGGATTTCTACAGAAAAACGAGGCCAGTGGACAGTCAGAAGCAAAGGTGCTCCTGCAGAGACGTACCAAAGCTCCCAGGGAGGAAGGAGCTGAGTGCCGTTGCGGTGGGAGCTGCCGTTCCCATCTGTACCCAAGAGTCCGCAGGCTTGAAGCTCGGCTTCCTCCGGCCCCCTAGGATCTACCTGCGCGTAGTCTTGCAGACGTGAGTGAAGGTTTTCTTTTACCATCCATCTAACTTCATAGCGGGGTTCAGGATTTACTTCTGATGTCAAAATTGAGCAATAAAAGGACGAGCCCAAACCAGGGAGGCGGCTCAAGCCCGTAGCGCTGGGCTCTGAAGATCGCCACCCAAAAGCACCCGGCTTCCAGAGGCGGACAAAACCCCAAACCCTGCGCCGAAGCCCAGGACGTTTGCCGCTTGACATTTAATACTGGGATGAAATATGAGTCGGGTATTTACGCGGCTGCAAGAAGAGACAAAGATGTAAACAAGGCAAGCCTAGGGACCATCGCACAAAGGAAAATCCCTCCCCACAACAAAAAAAAGCAGTATTTCCTTCGATTTTAGCGAACGGGTGGATGAGAAGGTGTTCGTTCAGAGAAGACTCATAGTGTTGAACCCCAGACTCATTACAAAACTCATTGAAAACATCTGCAAAAAACCTACAATCTATTCTTCATCATTCTACTCTTCACTTTCTGCAGTTCCGTTGGTTTTCAGCAAGAAACGAGGACGATGCCTAGCGAGTTCCAGCGGGCTGGTGGCATCCCGAGGGCAGAGATGACCAGCTGGAGGACAGCAGCCTGCTACAGAAGCGTGAAGATTCCTGAGCAAAGCACCGGAGTAGCAAGTTTTAAATAAATAAACCCCTTCTTCCGAGGGAGGGGGAAGAAAAATGCAATTGAGCGCCCCGCGCCCAAACCATCCGCACCTACCTCCAGCCTCCCAGCCCCACAAAGCCCAACCGCAAAAGCAGCCACGTGCCCCCACGTTAGGGCTGCTCTTCAGCAGTCAGGACGATGCCGACCAAGCTCTTACACAAACGCAGCCTTGATGCAAGAACCTGGATGCAAAGAGCCTCAGCCCTGGAGCTGGGTGGAAACGGAGCTGGCAAGATGAGTCGTTCCCAGAGAGGAGAGCTGGGCGGTTTGCAGCTAGAAGGAAATTCAAAAGGGACCTCAAATCATGGAATCACGGAATTGTTTGGGTTGGAAAAGACCTTTAAGATCATCAAGACCAACCGCCCCGCTACCCCTGCCATCCCACCCCCAAACCCTGGCCCTCAGCACCGCCTCTGCCCGGCTGTTAAATCCCCCCAGGGCTGGGGACTCGACCCCTTCCCTGGGCAGCCCCTTCCAGCCCCTGACAGCCCCAAGGGGAAGGAATTGTTCCCCATGGCCAACCTCACCCTGCCCTGGCACAACTTGAGGCCGCTGCCCCTCGTCCCATCGCCCCTTCCCTGGGAGCAGAGCCCGACCCCCCCGGCTCCCCCCTCCTCTCAGGCAGTTGTAGGCAGCGATGAGGGCTCCCCTCAGCCTCCTCTGCTCCAGGCTGAACCCCCCCAGCTCCCCCAGCCGCTCCCCAGCAGCCTGGGGCTCCAGACCCCTCCCCAGCTCCGCTGCCCTTCTCTGGACACGCTCCAGCAACGCAACGTCTTTCCTGCAGTGAGGGGCCCACCAGACAGAGGAGCATCCCGCAGAAACGCTCATTGCCTCCCTTCGGTACAGAATGCGAGGCATCAAAAGACTTGAGATGTGAATTTAAGAAAATTCCTGGGAGTTTGGCTATGTACCTCTAACCAAAGGACGTACAAATGGCTCTAAGCAGCTGTGGAGGCTCTAGCTGGTCCCTCAGCCCCAAAGCCAGTTTAGAACTGGATGGTGACCAGAAACAAGCAAGTTCCACCTGAATTTAATCTCCTAGTAGAGAGCGGGAGACCACGGGTAAGATGGAGGGGTTCGCTGCTGTACCACAGGAGGTGCCAACATTGGAGAGGGCTCGTAGCAGCTCAGCTTCGCTCATTCCAGCCAGAAACCTTCAATGACAAGTAGTCTTTCTGGAGAAGCCAACTTGGGAAAAAGGAGCGTCCAGTCCATTCAATCCCAGCCAGCAGAAGAGTTACTGCAGAACAAATCTTCCAGCTATATGGGAGCACCAGCCAGAGGAGCTCCTAACACAGCCTTAAATTGTATTGATCCTTTTCAGAGAAAGGCCGGCTTGAGGCATCAAGCTGTGAAAACAGAGGAGCCTTCATGCTTGAAAGGCAGCCACAGAGCGTTGCTCTTACACCCCAGCCTTCCGACAAAGAGCTGCCTGTCCGCGTTCTTCGGCCAAGCGGTACCTCCATAGTATGATATGCCCAAGGTCATAATTCCCAAGCCAAACCAGTTGGCAAACTCTCTCAGCTACTGAGCAGCCTCTCCCCAGGGTCTCGGGCGGGCTTTTGAAGGACAGTCCTAATGGACATCACCTCACTGAGCTCAAGCGAGCTTTGGGCAAAGACAGCGCGTTCAAAGCCAAGTCTTCTGCCCAACAAGACTTTGAAGATGACTTAAGAGGGCCAGTAAAGGTAGGCGTCTTCCACCCAACAGCCTGCCAGCCAGACTTGGGTTTGTTGTTGCAAAAACAGACGGCAGCTCGTGTGCTGGAGTCGTGGTTTCACCACAAGGCCAGGATTGGTGATGGAAGCCAGCAAAGATCCCTGAAAACATCTCTCCTTTTCCACACACCAAATGGAAGGAAGGAATGGGCCTGTTCAACACCAGTTGAAGAGACGGATACCAAAACAGCACAAAGACAAATTACGAGTCAGAGGTGCTGTGAGAAGCAAGAGCTTCCAGCTCAAAAGGAAAGCGCGTGGTGGGCCTTTCAGTAAAACCTTGCCGCAGAGGCAGTGTTTCCTTCTGAACTTCCACCAACATGTTTAACTTGCTTTCCCCTCCCCCCCCCCATTATAATCTCATGCCCCTTCCTTGAAAGGGTTCAACTGCTACGTAGGCAATCTTTACCACAGCTGATCTACATCTACGTCATAGCAAGGAAGACGTTGATAAGCCAGTAGAAAAATCTAAAACTTAACCGGAGAATAACTAGGGTTGGAAGCAGCAGACTGGGAAGTCTTGGGTCAAGCCCTCTGCTCAAAGCAGAAGCAACTTAAGTCAAGGTCATTCAGGACAGTTGTGAATGTCTCCAAGGACAGAGACCTCCTCAGCCCAGGTCTCTGTTCTAGGGTTTATCCATCCTAACGCAGCCCAGGGGCAACTTGGTCTCCTAAACCCCAAACCACAACGTTGCTTTCCAGCCGTCTGTCCCAGCCTGACCATCCTGGGGAAAGGACTTTGAATTGGCCTTTGCTGAATTGCCCGAGGTCCCCATGAGCCCGTTCCTCCACCCACCGAGGTCCCTTGGAAAAGCAGCCCTGTCTCCAGAGTATCAACCACTCCTCCAACTTGGTATCATCCATGAACTTGCTGAGGGTGCCTCTCTCATATCATCCAGGTGATTAATGAAGACGTTCAGCAGTATCCACACAACTACCGACCCCTGAGGAATGCCACTCGTAACTGGCCACCAGCTGGACTTCAGGTCGATGACCACTACTGCTTAACCTCAGCAACTGGGAGAGTTTCCCAACCATCAGGTCCATCTCCGGTTCGGTTACAGAAACGCTGTAGGACACCGCGTTGAAAGCCTTGTTAGAAAAACATCCAAGGAACAGGACATCCACTGCTCTCCCCATCCACCACGCTGGCCATCTTACCACAGGAGGCTATGCAGTTGGTCAGGAAACTTGTCTTCTCCGTTGACAGTCCAGAAGGCACATCATTCTCTCTTTCACAGCCTTTTCTCCCCATTGCTTTTGGCCATATATGGGCAAATTTCTTGGTATGCAGCACTTAACGCTTCAAAACCCCAACATTAGCATCAGTAGAGGACTTGGTCTGAGTCTCACCCTGCAGTCCAGAGCATCTCAATGACCGGGGACTGAAGACAGCCTCTTGCACACAGGGTCATTAAGGTGTCCTCTCCACGTGGTGGCACAGGACCCTCTTCCAAACCTCTCTCAAGATGCCATCACCTCTCAAAAACCCACCGAGGGCTCAGCAGCCTGCAGGAGGCAAGGTCATCTCCATCTCTGGTGAGGGCGGCTACGTTGTGAGCAATCCTGAACGAGCAGCTCACCTCCAGAAGGATGCTTTTAAATCCATGCTTCCTTCGGATGTGCCGAAACAGACCTCTAGATGCCCATCCGCAGCATCCGCTCATGCCCAACACAATCAGTCAAGTACCCCAATAGACAAAAAACCCACCATCAGATCAAGGCCAGTAACCCCGTCCCTGGGTGCTTGGTTACTGGGGTAACCAATGGTAAATATTCTTCAGAATCTGGGGATTTCTCATTTATACTGGTTTGCTGGTAGCCCGAATGACAAATTTTGGGTCAAGCTGAAACCTTGGTGGCCAGGATGGTTTGAGCAATGGCCCCACCATCATTGCCACAGGACCAGATCCAAGCTGCAAGCCAGTCCTGCTCCGAGAAGCGGGGTGGACTGGAGACCCTCAAAGGTGCTTTCCCCCCGTGATCCTGTGACATTGCTTCAGGTAGGGGAGGGGGAAAATTAGGCTGACATTTAGAAGAGCAACGAGCCTGATGCACATAGCCTGCAAGCAGCTCCAACACATCTCCTTGATCTTAAAAGTCTTTCCCTGCTCTTAAAGGTCTTTTCCAACCAAATGACTCCAGGATTCCAGGATTCTATAGGTTTGGATTGGGCATTGGGAACAATTCCTTCCCCTTGGGGCTGTCAGGCACTGGAAGGGGCTGCCCAGGGAAGGGGTCGAGTCCCCAGCCCTGGGGGGATTTAACAGCCGGGCAGAGGCGGTGCTGAGGGCCAGGGTTTGGGGGTGGGATGGCAGGGGTAGGGAGGCGCTTGGGCTGGGGGAGCTTCAAGGGCTTCGCCAACCAAACTCTATGATTTTTCCAACCAAACTCAGACTCATGATTCTATGATTCCTGCACCGTGCCCGTGCCACATGGCAGCAGGAGGGAACGCCAAGGCGGAGGGGGAGCAAAGCGGTGTGGGACTGCCAGGGCCGCACGCGGATTTTGGCAGGCAGCTCTCTGCCTTGGGATGAAGGGTCCCCGTTGGTTGGACAAGCCCAACTCACCCACGCCAGCCTCAAAGCGCCAGGCAGCGCCACGGCACAAGGGTACACAAAGGAAGAGCGAGATGACAACACCGAATGAATTTAGGCTGTCCGAGACGCTAAAACCAATCCGTAACATCTGCATGGACACCTCTGAGGAGCTCGGGAGGGGATGGTAAGAGCTGGCCGTGTGGGATGCTGCAGCAGAGCAGCACCCAAGGGCCCCCATAACCACTTGGCTTGCAGGCGACGCGGGGATTTAACATGGACTTCTCTTGTCATCGTCCTGAAATGAGAGAGCTTTAGACAGTGTTGGTGAACAGGAGGGAAGCCAGCGAGCGCTGCCTTCGCTCGCCGCCCGCGTTCTCCTCGCAGAGACGACCCGTTTCTCACGCGTGTCGTGGGCCCCGCTCCACACGCGCACCCCTCGCGGGGTGCAGGGGCAGCGAGGTTTGATTCCCCTTAAAAGAGGTTGGGAAAGGATTCCGAAATTATTTCCAGCATGCTTCAAGCGGTAAAAGTTGTTTGTTGTTTGAGTTTGGGGGGGCGGGGGGGGTGTTATTTAATTAGGGGTTATACTTCTACCCAATATTATCAATGAATTAATTCTACGGAAAGATGAAAGGAAATCCGTATCAGAATTAGTCACCTCCATGAACCCCATCTGGCTACGAGCCACAGCTGATTTCCGCCTCCTAGGAAGCACTTTATGAATCAACATTAAATCACAAACTGACCTACGCTTAATCCACACCGAAAAGAAAAAGCCCCAACGCACCGGCTCGTGGCCGCTTATCTGCACGGCGCGTTCCACGCACGCTACGCTCCGAAGACAAACTCATGAAGAAACACTTCAGAAATCGGGATCGGAAAGCCGAGCACACCTGAGACACGTTTAATCCCCGCGTTTGGTACGGCTCTTCTGCATTAGAGAAACGTCAACTGGCCTGGAAAGAGCTTTGGCGAAACACCAAACATTTTGCGGAGGTTTGCTGGTTGGATGATCCTCAAATCCTGTGGTTTGGGTAAACCTGCAGCTACAGCTGACCTCTCGAGTGCTGCGCAAGGCACGGGCAAGCTCGCAACTGCTCTTTGAGATACTCCGTTACGGCG